CAGGGAAGTTTGGATGACACAAGTCCTTCTAAGGCCGACAATCATCTCCTTAGTCTTGTCGATATTGAGAGACAGATTGTTGGCTCTACACCAGGCTGCAAGCTGCTCCACTTCATCCCTGTAGACCGGGGTTGTGTTGAGTGCCTCAAACCGGGTGTAGAAATCATTCAGCGCATTGGGCAGGGACACATTCCCATCATCAACACCGTTGTTTCTTCTCTTGTAGTCGGTGATGATCTGTATGCCCTGCCATATCCGCCTCAGGTCCTTGTCCACAAAATGCTCCTGAATCCTCAGGGCATAGGCTGATTGGACTTTCCTGATGCCACAGGTTAAATTGTCCCTAGCTGCTTTGAGTATAGCTCTGTCGCCAGATTTAAATGCATCATTTCGAGCCTTCAGCTGCGAACGTACCTTAGAGTTCAACCACGGCTTCTGGTTATGTTGTAGATTATTTGCTTTTCTTTCATAGACAGTTCTTTAGTCTTCATGTTAGTTTAGGCCTACCAACTCCAAAGGCAGGAGCCAAAAGGAAAAGTAAAGGCTAAAACCAACACTACACATTCTCAGCTCTTTTATGTGTGCACAATTAGTGTAAGAGTAAAAACCTGACCAACAAGAAACACCTGGCAGGCAACTGTTATGATACTTATGCTCTACTGAAATGGGTGGGGGAGGTTGAGCACGAAAAGCACTATTATCATAAAAAGTGCAATATATAAGCATAGAAATACTCAGAAATAAGAGGCACCATTCTATACTTTTGCCTGACATTAATTTTTTATCACAAATCTGAATTGGTTGAGTAAAGAGCAAAAATAGCAATGTTAACTTCATTGTCCCCCAATACTTATGGAGGGCACTGTACTGTATATATGGTTCAGTTTATTTATTTTTAACAATTGTAATCAACTCAGCCAATAAAAAAATGTTCCATCTTTTTATCACAAATATACAAGCACTTTATTTCATGTTGTGGATACAGTATACTGTATAAAAATAGCTGAAGTACATGAAACATACAGTAAATAACACATATTGTAAGCAATTGACCTCCACCTATAGGACACCATAGATCACACTAATCTCTCCGTCTGTGTTCTCAAAGACGGTTTTCCAAACTCATACATCAGAAAGACTACAGAAACCAAAATTATGCTGCAACTAGGATCACACCTTCCCCCTTCTCTTAATGACAGACTACTTTTCTTCTAAATTCTCTCTATTCATTGTAGGTTTCATTTCACACCTCGCTTCACCTATCCTGACTTCACGCCTCCCGATTGGGCTCTCTTCTGTCCCCTGCACCTGCCCCTCACTCCTTCTCTCTCCCAGCTTTTGTTCTCCCGCTACATTACCTTTGCTTACTGCCCTGTCTTTCTCACACCTGAAGAAGGCTCCATGGCCGAAACGTTGTTTTCTTTCTTCTCTTTTCAGCATGGAATAAACCTATTACTTGTTCCTTTGCAGCCTACGCATACCGACGCAGCTACCCACCTGAACTAAGAATTAGCTTATACACAGTTCACTATGAAAAACGAAACTCAAGAATAAAGTGCCCTGATATTGGAGTGTTTAGTGAAAATTATGTTTTACCCGCTTGGCTGAGGGCTACCCTTCTGGCCATTGGACAAGAAGGCTAGGACTTTCATGTAGAGTGACAAGTGACCCAGTGGCAGCTGTAAAGGTGGAGATGGGGTGGAGGAGGGTTACAAAAGTGGTATACAAGGAATATCACATATGGTATTTATAGTGTTTTAGGAGAGGAAATGACATTAGGAGTGATTGCTAATTACTGACAGTCAAGTCTGATTGAACTTTCCTTACAAACTCCATTAAGGACATTGTTTTTTTTTTATATTTTACGATTTGGCAAGCTTTGTTTTTGCTATATTGTATTTTTAAGGTAAAAATGGCAAATAAGCATTTTTTGGTCTTTGAATAGAGCACATCTTTTTGTCTGCACCAATAAGATAACATTCTTATAAAAACAATTGCATTGCTGGGTTTTGAATTTGAAATACACCATTTTGAAGCAGAGGTTGTCTTGTTTTGTATGATATACTGTATAGTTTGTGGTGCTGAAGTTTTGAAGTTGTTGCTAAAAATTGATTAAATTGGCACATAAGGATGTTTTTATTTCAGTATTTAGCACTGGGTCATAAATTTGTTCATTTTTTAACAAATAGTTTCACTGCTGTGTAAAGAAATTTGATGGTTGGATTAGAGATAACTTGCATGTGCAATACTTTATTTTACTGAGCTTTTTTCACATAGTTTTTGCATTTTAGTAGATTTTTGTAAAATGGTTGTTTTGCTAAAAATATGCTGAACCATACAAAACACAACACCCTTGTAAGCAATTCGCCAGCCCTAATACCGTTTGCTCTTATTCTATAGGGCAAAATTGATATTCATGCCATTAGATCTATTTTCCCACGATTGTGGGGAAAGTCTAGCATTTCTGATTTTGTCCAAATATAAAGTCCTTTAAAGTGAAGTCGGTTAATCTGAGAGTTTTCTGTATGAAAATCCTGCACATGAGGATGAGGCTGAATGGTCCTCAATCACTTTAGCAAGGAAAGAGCTATTGCAAGGTTATAGATGGGGTGTTGGGAGTGGTGCAAGAGATATGTGCACAGGGAAGCCAAGACGTGTTTCTAAATATACAGTACCTTTGCTCTTCTACCTACAGTAAGTGAGATTAGCATCTTAACTTCCTCTCCAAACTTTTGATATAAACTCAATTTGTACCTAAAGAAAATATGTTAATGAGGTGTATTCCACCATTATCACAACACCGCTGTGAAAAGAATAGTTTTCTCATAATATGTAGTATAACAAAATTACAACACCATATTACCTTTGTGGAGTGGTGTGGGGTGAACCACTTGGAACTGAATGTAACAAAG